CCAAGTGCTTGCTCAAGGGGGATTTGTTGGGTTTTCCCTATGTAATAATATTGATAACAGTAAGGTCTAGACCTTAGTTTGTAAAGTGTCCTGAGATGACTTTTGTTGTGATTTGGCGCTATACAAATAACATTTGATTTGATTTAGCCATTGCTTTGCATGCTCGTGCACCGGCAGCACTTGGTTGTGATCTGGTTTAACACAGAACAAGGCTGCAGTCAGTTGAGACACGATGTGTTTATTTACATCGAAACCAAAATGGAACCGATGCCAACCTTAAACTGTCGCAGCTCTAATTGTAAGAATTGATTCTTATAGGCTCTAGTTACTTTATAAGCTTTAGTTACTTTTCATAACTTTTGTTTCCTTGCTTGTACATATTAAAACTGTATTGATAATTGTCCAGAACTACTGAGCTTTGGTTACTTTTAATACTTTTATTTTCCTTGCTTATATACAGTGCCTTGTGAAAGTATTCGGCCCCCTTGAACTTTGCGACCTTTTGCCACAGTTCAGGCTTCAAACATAAAGATATAAAACTGTAATTTTTTGTGTAGAATCAACAACAAGTGGGACACAATCATGAAGTGGATAGACCCGTTTAGCATATTTAACAAATAAAAAACTGAAATATTTTAATAGGATTACACAGATAGGGGGTCTACAGCACAGATGACCCATTGTTAAGTGTTCATTGATCAGTTGCTGCCTGGAAAATCAAACCACAACACACACACACACACACACACACACACACACACACACACCTGGATTTTACCACATTCCAGCAAGGAGGTGTGAGCTCCTGCTCACACCAAATGGCCAACAGGACTGCGAAGTGTAAAATGTGGTACCTATGTCCATAAATGTAACGTGAAAACGTAACTCGTGGTTCAGAGAATGGATTTCCTGCGGGAGCTCTGTCTCTCTGACCCCAGCGCTGTAAGACTTCACCTGTGCCCAGACTTTGAGTAAAGCTCCTGTTGATTTTATACAGTCCTCTCCTGTCTTCACTTCTCACGCTTTCAATAAAAGAACTGGATAAAATCTAACATACTGTTACTGACAAACTTGTAGAAGTTATTCTCGTGGTGTTCTCAGATGTTACCACTGCCACACCCACTGGACTGGAGGACATGAAATGGCGAGTGTTCATGGGAAGGACAAGATGATGAAAGGATTTGGGGCAAACAGAGGGATGAAGATGGAGCGGAGGGAGTGAGTAATGTCCTCCAGCTGCAGAGCCCCACAGCAGCAACTATTCACGCTGCGAGTCGCGTCACAACACGTCTATATACTAAGAAGGAGAAGAACATCATGTGTTCATGTGGTTTTTATCATCTTAGAGCTGCTGTCAGACACTTAACGACTCCTCATGGTCTGAACACAGATTAATACACTTCATCAGCTCATTAATTGGTCTGACTCTGCTTAAACCTAATTACAGAACATAATTCCCTATTTACTCATGTTGGTTTGTTTGGAGATTTCAGCCTCTGTGTCCAGCAGTTGACTTAGACGTGTGTAACTGATGGTGAGAGGAAAAGAACAGAAGCTGAAGGTTTAAGAGATGTGAAGCCAGTTCTTTGATTTCCTTCTCCAGACTTGCTGAAAACCATGTGATGCACAAGTCTGAGTTTTATGGACCTTTGAGCTCCTCATGAAGACAGAATGACAGCTTGCATTCGATAACACCTGGATTTACATTACATTGCATTTCCTTATGAGACAATGATAATATTGTCATGTTTCTACAGATGAAGGAAAAACCACGTGCAGGCATCCTCCATGCTGACGCTGATGATTAGGGCAGCTCAGTGTCTGAGACAAAGCTCAGAGTTTTCCTTAAATGCAGTGTGGCTACGAGAGATGTAGTGTCTCATGATGGAACAAACATGTCAGAGGCTGTTTCATCATGTCAGGGGTAAAACTCAGGGTAGAAGCACTGAACCCTGACAACAAACGCCAAAGCATTGAGTTCAGAGGAGCCTGTAGTGATGGCAGCAGCTTTGTGAGGCTGAACGTCACCGTGTCACCAGAGTGGAAACAGGACGACCCACTGTTATTCTAAGCCCAGCGCCACTGGACACATCTGGGGTGTAACGCATTTGTTTGAAAGTGAACCTGACACAAAATATGGAGCTGGATTATTATCGATGTTAGAGTTACTAGATTTACTGTGCTCGATAATGAAATACAAACATGAAAAATAGAAATATTTGACAATAAATATTAAAGTCCAAACTGGGAAGCTGCTTCAACTGCTAAATGTGGCCTGTTGTGATGTCTCTCTCATTACCAGAGTCTCTATTCATTTCCATTTTACAGTTTAGTTCATGTTAAACATTGTATTAGACGTCTCACCGTCACTAACTAAAAGATAAACAATGCTGTTGGTGTGAAAACCTACATTTCCTGTATGATGAATGCAGTTCTGACATTTGCCACAAACCAGTCAGCTGGAAACTTTGCCGTGAATTCAGTGAGTTACAATGATTTAGTGGAACCGTGGGACGGCGGCAGCACGTGAGGCATCTACGTGTTTATATCTGTGATTTGCACAAAACACAATGTACGTCTGATTTCCCACCAGCCTCCAGGACTGTGGTCAAAAACTAAAGTATGAGAAATGAGAATGCTGACCCAACAGTGGCTCTAGAGGCCCAAGGTCTGGTCCCCAATGTTTCCACCAAAATTATTGGCAGTCAGTCTGATAACTGGAGATTTCTTTCTAAAAGTCAGAGGATCAAGTTCCAGGACGTTCGTCGACTGAACCAGACTTACAGATATTACACTGGTTGGGGGGGGGGGGGGGGGGGGG